AGTTTGCAGCAAAACAATTTTTATATCACCAAGAGGGACAGGGTTAACCGCTGAATTTAATTCGGCATTAAATCTGTCTTAGTTATCATCCTGGTGTGGGTTTTTTTGACCATAGTGATGGAATATTGATACGGAATTTAGGGCGAAATCTAGAGCGAATTTATACGGTCATATATGAATTCATATTTGACCAGAGGTGTGCTTGTATTGGACGTAGTCTGACGCCGTGTTTGCGATAGTGATAGTTGCCATAGTGAAGGAAGTTGAAGCCGTTTGACAATCGTAGGTATCTCACTTTACATAGTCCAAGAATATATTGTTGAAAATAAAATGTATACATTTTTTGGGAGAGTATTTTGACATCGCTCATAATTATTATTGTAGGTTTTTTTTCATTTGTTGATATATTTTTGTCAGAAAATAGTATATAAAGGTCCACCATTTGGAAACTGTCTTAAAGTTAATGTTTCAAATTTGCAAAAAAAAAAACTAAGCCTCTAGAAGAAAAAATACAGTATATTTGTCTCCATATTCGACATTTTTATGGTTTAAGCCCTATGAAGTTTATATTTGGAACCAAAACGCATTGCCTAATAATACTGGTTTTCCAGAGAAATAACATGTACAGTTCGCACAAGACGCAGCAAAGAATCAACATAGACTGAAAAACTAAGGTTGATGTCAATGACTACACCTATACATCTCATTCACAAAATTAACGACGAACGAGCAAACACAGATGCAAGGCATAGGAGCACAACGGAAACAGAACAGCTTCAGTCTTATTCCAGTTGACTCCAATCCATTGGAGGAGATCGATATGGAAATCAATTGCAACGTAGTATTCGCCACATTTTCCAACTCAAAGAGATCTGCACCTTTAAAGAAGACATGAATGTCATCCGCATACATGAAGACCACACATCTAGGAACTAGACACAGATAGCAATTTCGTTAATGAACATGAAGCATAGACCCTTGTGGGATACCACACCGAACACCACAAACATCAGACTGAAAACCACTGTGTGCAACAAACTAAGATTTTCCACTCAAATATGACGATATCAATCTAAATGAAGAAAGAGAGAAACCAAATTTGCCTCTCAACTTACAGAGCAGAAGTGTATCCACAGAATCAAAGAGAAACTCAACAATAGCATTCTTAATTACAAGCTCAACTATCTTCAATATAGCCGGCAGTATGCTTATAGGTCGAAGATTCGTCTGATGATAAGAACTCCCTTTCTTCGATACAGACATTACACGAACCACGTTCCAAGAATGCGGAAAGGTTGACGTCATAAAAATGCAATTTACAAAAGCCAGAAAGTGACTACAAATATAAAAGAAAACACATACCCAAAATTTTTGATACAGACTTGAATTACAAACACATGGAACATCACCACAATCATCAAGACAATCAAACGACTTTGACGACTTCCACACCTGCACACTATTCATCGGACCAAACAATTCCTTATAAAACTTTCTTCTTTCATTACGCATGACAGCCTTACATAATTTCTTCGGCGAATAGTGCTAGTAGCAGTAGGTACAAAAGACAACAAATTTTGCAACAACAAATCAAACAACGCCGACTGTTGGTCAACATCACTCGTAATATACAGAGGGCTAAAATCAAAATTACAAACATAATCTCCCACACCCCTCCAATCGGACCAACGAAAATCCAGGAACTCAATTGCCTTCTCTTCAACAACAACAGGGAGTTCAACACCCCAAAGATCAATGCATGGTAAGAAATACCACCATTTCCTGCGAGAAAAAACTCACAGCCATGGTATCACAGACCATGCAAAAGTCAATCAACGAGGTAGTGCCACATGCAACATCAAATAGCATTGGCATGGAATTGTTCACAATGGAGAATCCAAGAGATCTACATATTCTTCACATCGATAAAGAATTCGACTGTTTAATAATAACAGAATAAGACGAAATGAGTCAACATCACCACGAAGTAAGTAGGCAACAGTAAAGAGTACCGTAGCGCCACCCAGGAAAAGCTCAGAACACAAAGACTCACATCTTCTTCTATATCTATAAAAGAGGAAAATGTTTGTATGTTTGTTTGTTTGTTTGTAATTTATGGACTCGAAAACCGCTGAATAGATTTTCCTGAAAATTTCCATGTATACTGCAACATCGCCTGAAAGTAACATAGGCTATATACATTTTTGAATTTCCACTTGGAACTGGAGATATAGCATCAGAATCGGAGGTACCTCCCAAAAATTTAGATTTTATATGCACATATCTACTGATTTGTTCAAGATACAGTCTCCAAATTTGGAATACGTAACGGAATTTGGAACAAAAATAAGTTTGCCAAATTATATTGTAATCGGTTCAGATTTGGATATAGCTCCCATATATATTTTCGACCGATTTTTTTCATTTGATGCCTCAAACACAATATGAATGTTCGATTCCAATGAAATTTGGAATGTGTGACGGGATTTAATCCGAAAATAAATTTGACAAATTATATTGAAATCGGTTCAGATTTGGATATAGCTCCCAGATATATTTTCGGCCGATTTCAAGCATTTGATGCACCAAACACGCTATGTATCCCCAATTTCAATGAAATTTGAAACGTGTGATAGATTTTATCTAAAAAATTGATTTCCCAAATTATATTGAAATCGGTTCAGATTTGGATATAGCTCCCATATACATTTTCGGCCGATTTCATGTATTTGGTGGACCAAACACGATATGTATTTCCAATTGTAATGAAATTTAAAATAAGTAACGGAATTGGGAGCCAAAATTAATTTGTCAAATTAAATTGAAATCGGTTCAGATTTGGATATAGCTCTCATATATATTTTCGGCCGATTTCATGTATTCTATGCACCATACACGATATGTATGTTCGATTCCAAAGAAATTTGGAATATGTAACGGAATTTTGATTAGAAAATACATTAGTCAAATTATATTAAAATCGGTTCAGATTTGGATATAGTTCCCATATATATTTTCCGCCGATTTCACATATTTGATGCACAAAACACGATACGTATTTCCGATTCCAATGAAATTCGGCACGAGTGGCTAAATTTGGTACAAAAATAAATTTGACAAATTATATTCAAATACGCTCAGATTTGATTATAGCTCCCATATATATATACTCAGCCGATTTCACATATTTGTTGCACCCAAAGCGAGAGAGACAAAATTTGGCACCAGAAAAAATTGCCAAATTATATTGATCAGTTGAGGTTTGAATATAGTTAGCATATATATTTCGGCCGATTTCATACATGTTATGCACCAAACATGATATATATGACCGATACCAATGAAATTCAGAATGTGTGGCGGAATTTGGTTACAATAATAAATGTGACAAATTAATTGGAAATTAGTTATGATTTCACATATTGGACGCACCAATTTCAATGAAATATATATTATATTTAAATCGGATCAGATTGGGACATGATTTTTATAAGAACCATTGACCCACAACGCCTTAGGCTAACACTAAAAACCAACACAAAAATTGATTTGAAATACTCTTATTACGGCGAAGTATGTTGCTATCTCGAATTCACTAATTGAAATGATAGAAATGACACTCAAATTCAAAAGATTGCAGTTTACTGCACGCTTGGTATTTGCTATGAAATAAATAAATCCGAAAGACAAACCCTTCGTGTATGTATGTCATGTTACTGCTTTTCTAATGGTTTTGGTTATTTACGCATTAAAATGGTGCAATATTTTTAATTTGTTTTTTTTTTTTTTAACCAACATATATTCGTAAATAAAATTTTGAATGCATATAAAATCAAAAGGGGTAGCGAAGCGCACCGGGTTCAGCTAGTACACCATAATTCTCCAAACGAAAAGCACTTTATACGACAAATTATAACGAACTTCTACAACAATGCTGCCATTATGTAGTTGTAAAATACCTTTTAGACTACAAAAGTATGTTTTTAATTATTTGCTGAACCAGAATATATATGTTTTTATCCATATTATAGAATATAGCCTCCAATAAATCATAGATCTGCCTTTGTAAGCGACACAATTTTTATTATAAGTAATCACTCCATAATAATTTCTAAATAGAAATATATATTAATGGCAAAAATTACAATAGAAGTTCTCCTACCGTCGGTTTTAGATATTTTGAATAGCCTGATCCTTCTTTCAGCCATAAACTTTAATTTAAGTGTTAAAAACCTATATGATATAGAACATCTATAATAGCCCCATGTGAAAACTCAGCTCAATTTTTGGTATTGGAGACCCCTTAAAGTCCATATTTCATCATATTATAATTTAATGACGATTAACAAATGTTTGGTGCCGTGCTACTTTCTAACTTTCGTAATTTTTTCATGTTTTTGCCACAATTTCAGACTGAATGGGTCTCAGTTTGACATTTCGGAGTTTTTTTCATATAGATGTACATCCCAAATCTACGTTCCCAACCAATATTATCTGGGGGATACATATTCTATAGAATACAAATTTTCCTTTTCTGATCACTTGGACTTTGGGGTATACTAATGTGGGGACTATACTTTAATAAATGCCTATGTGGACGATTATCTGTAAGACGGTTATCTACCCCAGAGTAGCCTAAATAAAATTTTTTAGTCAAATCAATTGATGAATGTGGTCAAGACCATGATGGACCCTACTCCGAAAATTGAAAATTTTAAGAGAAGAGGTTTTTTACCCCTTTAGAAACAAAGATGCCAAATAGGGGCCAAAAAATGAAAAAAGTGGCCAAGACGCCGAAAATAGTTTAATGGTTATACCAAAACGTGATCATTCTTTGCAAAGATGGTTTCCTCTTTCTAAAAATATGGTTAAGATGTACACAATTTTCACATTTGTACACAATTTTACATTTGTACACAATTTTTTTTATTATTTTATCCTTTTCTGCCAAGAGTTAATTCCGAACTTGTCTAAACTGCATTTTTCAATTTTGATCTTACCTGCCATCTCCAGAAACTAGAAGCGAGTTCAGGAAACGATCTTCACCAGCCTTAAACGTTGTCACGCAATCTCCAGATTCTAGATTCATTAGATTTACATACATCCTGTTTCGAGACAAACACACAAGATGCTTTTGGTCATGGAGACCAAAATATGGCATTTTCTGATTCATAACTCCCTTTAGCGTTACCTAAAAATAAATATTGTAGGTTTTTTTTATGTTTTGCTGTAATGTTCTTAAACGTGATATGAATGTGTCTAAAATCTTCAAAATATAGATTTACCGTTACATAGGAGTTATACCACACACCTTGGTAAAATTATAAGGTAAAAGCAAAACTGCAACAAATACAATTTAACAACAACCACATTGACATTTGTTCTTGTAAGTAATGCAAGATCAGAGTAAATGTCCAAAAATGTATACAAAACAAAATAACTATAAAAATTATATTCATTTCAAAAATTTGGATTATAAAATTAAAAATGCGGAACGAAGATTCGTAAAATATTTGATACTAATGCTTTTATATCAAACCTCATTTTTGGTGGCAACTATGGACACCACAGTGACATTCATATCAAATTTCAGTACCAAATTTTATAGCATTTAGTTCCTTTCGTAAAGTTAAAGTACGCATTTTTAAAAAAATCTACATATCTCAACCTCAGATACTAACAGTGACCTTAAAATCAAATTTCAATTATAGTATGAATATCCAAAACAACCTCCTTCTCTAACCAACAGTGACATCCATATCAAAATTTGAATGCATTTAGTTCTTTTCGAACAATTATAGTCCGCGTTTTCAAAACAATCTCCATATCTCAACCTCCGATACCAACAGTCACCCTAATATCAAATTTGAGAATTTCAGCTCTATTATTTCACCCAATATCCAATTTAGTACCACATAGTACTTTTCGAACAATTATACCACACAATTCTTTCAATAGGGTTCGTCCTTGGGCCAAGCAAATGATTTGTGCAAAATTTCATCTGGATCGGCAATAAATGCGAACTGTACTTTGTTTACAAAGATACATGGACAGACGGACGGATGGACAAACAAGAATAAATCGACTCAGAATATGATTTTATGCAGATCATCTAAAGGAACTATGGGTCTAACTTGTTTCCATTTGCCTTTTACAAACAAATGCACAAAGGCATAATACCCTAACCACATTGTGTATAGGGTATACATAAAGGGAGGTACCATTATATGCGGTCTATACCATAACGTGGACCTGCACAGACAACTTTCTGTCATATCCTGTAGTATCCATTACGAACTTCAAATACTAAATTTAAATCAATTTCTATTATGTGGACCACATAAAAACTGTATTGAAAACATTTTCGCAATCTTATGTTCTTTGTTATTTCATAGAGTCCATAAAGATATGTTTAGGTAACGTTAACACAGTAAAGTAAAGTAAAATTTTAAAAGGTGGATTTGATTAATAATCACAAATTTCAAAAATTTATTGAATATGCCAGGCATGCGTTGTCTATCAAAACGTAATGCAAGCCACACACGAAACAACTTTTTGTACAACTTGGAGAGTACTCAAATTGTGTGTCTCGGTCACAGACGATACAACTTTGTGTACAACTTCATTTTGCGAGCAGTTAATTTTGAATCAAGATAATGTCGGAAATAATTGCCTGCGCTGTAATTGACGTAGTGTTGGAACAAGAAAATGAAGAATATACAAAAATGCAAGAAAAAGGCAAAATTGGTCAAAGAAGTGGCTTTTACAAAAAGAAAAATATTCACACAATAAACTTTTAAAAACATTAAAAAATGTGAACCAAATGATTTTAAAAATTATATTATATGACGGAAGACGTTTTTAATGAACTCCTGTCAAAAGTTTCAATTCACATACGAAAACAGGACACAATAGTGAGACAGGCAATTTCGGTCTGCCACCGATTAGGAATAACATTACGTTTTTTTGCCTACTGGGTGTTCATACGAAGAACTAAAGTTTTCAACTGCAGTATCTGCACAAGCAATAGGAAAAATTGTGATCGAAACTTGCGAAGGAATTATAAGAGTTTTAAAACCGTATATGAAGGTAAGTGTTGAAGATATATATATTTATATTAAGATAAAATATACTTCAATATTTTCTTTAATTGCAGCTTCCAAAAACTCCAGCCGAACTGTTTTGGAGCCCTTGACGGCAAACACATTAATATTATAAGGCCATGCCATTCAGGATCCTTTTACTTTAATTATAAAAAGACCTTTAGTATTGAAATCCTCTCGAAGAAGCATAGAAATCCTCTCGAAGAAGCAAAATAAATTAGGCTTAAGTTTTGTGAAACAATAAAACAATTGAGAACACTTTATTACATAATTTTTATTTACATTAAAGATTTTTATTAACTAAAAATTATAATCATATAATTTCAAAAAGTTTTTGATTTATTGGTACTCAGAATCATTAAATAATTCTTTAAAATCTTAATAGTGGTGTGATTTATTTGCTGGGTTTGAAGTTGTACGTATATTAGGTTAGGTTTCCCTACCGCTTTGCAAGACTGACGTCTGTATGTATTGAACAGAATCGTCACTGAAAATAAACGGGGTCGAGCTATGGAATTTGGCGTGGAAGATTCATTCCATACATTTTTTTGACTATCGCTTGGCAGTACTGACGTCCGTATATATTGAACCGAATTGTGCTAAAAATCAGCGGGATAGAGCTGTTGGAGTTTGAAGTGGAAGATCCATTTAAACTGCTTTGCAGTGTATTATAGGTCAATTGATTTAATCGTCCCATCATCAAAATTTCATCAATGGCTCTTTTTGCATGTAATTGTTGTTTTGGGTTCATTTGCCGATACATGCAAGCCTATCCATTTGCATATGTAGTGGCTCCATCTTCGACTTTTGAATTGTTTGCTGACGACTCCAAATGTTCAGCACTTTTTTTAAAAACTTGACAAAACTTTGACACATAAATTTCATTACTCCCGATCCAGACTTTTGACTCTTTATCACTTTCATCAATTCGCGGCGATAACAAGTCCGCATATTTGCTATTTTCTTCTTCACTTTTTTAAGGATCCCATCATTTTTTTTTATATTCAATTAACAGTTTATCATAGCTTTTATTTCGCATGTTTTTATTTTTATAATTTTCATTTTTGCAATTCCACAATTCCATCATACTTTTATAACATTCAATAAAATCACGCATTTGTGCGGAGTCTTCCATTTTGGTGTTGTTTTGATGTGTCTAAAAATGGTGTTTTCTCAACGAAAAAAAAAACAGAAAATGAAATTGTATGTGACATACCCACAAACGTTACAATCGGTTGGTACAACATGCCAAACATTAAAAATAATTTGATTTTTCGTACAACCGAGACACAACTTCGTACAACCGGGCCACAAACGATACAATCTTGAATACAATCTCTCCAAGTTGTACAACCAATTGTATCGTGTGTGGCTTGCATAACAGACGGATTCCAGACAAATGGAGAATGTGCATATGCATTAGTAATTCAGAGAAGTATTTGCCTAGAGACGAAAATGTGGCGCAGTTCAACTGTACCGGACTGATCCGAAACAACAACACCTTCGTTTCAGCCAGCGGCTACCATCTCAGCGCATAAATGTTCGTATTTGTTTCCTTTTCTGCCTCAGGAGCAGCATATCATGAAATTCTTACTTTATATTCTTTGGTCTGTTCTGTTCGGATTGTAGAACGTCATGTAATACCGATTTGTCTCGGTGCAGGGGGTGCAGAGAATGGCTGCACTGGATGAGAACACAGCTGAATGTGCGTGTCGAGGGACATTTTATGCCAACTACGAATCAGCCTAAGATCCATGTTCAAGAGTCCGCGTAAGCCATCTGTAGGGGAAAGGTCCTCAATCCGCCGGCCGGCAGTACTTGCAGTTGAAGAATATCCAGACCTGCAATAATGCTGCCCTGGGAACTACGCCAGGCAGCCTCCTCATGATACCATTGGACCACCTACATGAGGAGGCGAACGTCCTTCCCGTACGTCAGCAATATCATAGACAGAAAAGGAAAAAATACGAACATTTATGCGCTGAGATGGTAGCCGCTGGCTGAAACAAAGATGTTGTTGTTTCGGATCAGTCCGGAACAGTTGAATGCGCCGCCGTTGCTATTTTTATTTGGTCTGGAAACCGTCTGTTACTTTTTGATAGACAACTTGGCCTGGCATATTCAATAAATTTTTTAAATTTGTGACGTTTAATCAAATCCACATTTTTAAATTTTATTTACTTTACTCTATTAACGTTACCTAAACATACTTAATGGATTATATTGGGGTGCAAAAGTTCCGTTTTTTACATATAATTTCATACGTCGAAATGTGACTCTCCGTAGTAAGAATTTTATACCACACTTCTCTTTGGAGGATATTCGTATCAAGGCATTTGAAGTCTATCTTTATGGACTTTATTATAAGTGAATCTTTATCTTCACTAATAATTTTTCCAGAGAGATACTTTTGATATAACGAAGTTACCAATAAAGAATATTTCGGAGTTCCCATTTTCCTTCACGAAAGCAATAGTCCCTACCAATTATATTATTTAACGATGTCCGTCTGTCTGTTGAAATCACGATACAGCCCCTTTTTGACGTAGAGCGTCAACATTTTGCAGAACAATTTGTATTGTGTCTAGGATGGTTGGTATTGAAAATGAGTATATCGGTCCACAATTTGGAATAGTCCCCATATAACGCCACCTCTCGATTTTTTGTTGATTTTTGACACATTTTTCAACGTATTTGTGGTATTGGTAGATCATACTGGTTCCAGCTCGTATGGCGAATCATTGTATGTATAGGTCCATGTTTTGGTATAGCCCTCATACAAGGGTACCTCCCGATATTCGGTATTTTGCTGATTTTTGCCACTTTTTTTTAACGAATTTGTCTAAAAAATTGAAATGTTTGGCCATGATGGGTTCTAGCTTCGGTGGCGAAACATTGTATGTATAGGCTCACGTTTTGGTATAGCCGCCAAATGACGGCATCTCCCGATATTCGGTATTTTGCTGATTTTTGCCACATGTTCCCACGAATTTGCCTAAAAGTTGGTATTTGTGGGTCATAATGGGTTATAGCTTGTATGGCGATACATTATATGTATAGGTCCACGTTTCGGTATAGCCCCCATGTAACGGTAGCTCCCGATATTCGGGGTTTTGATGATTTTTGCAGATTTTTTTAAGGGATTTGTCCAGAAATTGATATTTGTAGTTCGTAATGGGTTGTAGCTCGTATGCCGAAACATTGTACGTCCACGTTTTGGTATAGCCCCCATGGAACAGTACCTGTCTATATTCGATATTCTGATGAAAATTGATATTTTTATACACTCTACCATAGTATGGAGGGTATATTAACTTTGTCATTCCGTTTGTAACACCACGAAATACACATTTTAGACCCCATAAAGTATATATATTCTTGATCAGCATAAAATTCTATGTCGATTTAGCGATGCCAGTCCGTCTATCCCTCTGTGGAAATTACTTTAGCTTTCGAACGAATTGAAGAAGATTGATAAAATTTACTCAAGTGTATGTTATGTCTGCAGGACTTTTGGTATTGAAAATGGGCCATGCAGGTCCACGTTTTAGTATAGCCCCCATTTAACGGTACCTCCCGATATTCGGTATTTTGATGACTTTAGCGACATTATTTATCGGAATTCTTTCAAATTTCGTATCTAAAGTTCGTAAAGTATACTGCAGCCTAAGACAGAAAATAGTTTGTGCAGGTCCACGTCTTCATGTAGCCCCAATATAACGGTACCTCTCGATATTCGGTATTTTGATGATTTTATCCACATTATTACCAATTTTTTGAAGTTTCGCATTTGAATATTATCTGGCTTATGACAAACATTACGTATGCAGGTCCATGTCGTCATATAGACCCTAATATAACAGCTACATTTGGTATTTTAAGACTTTAACAGAATTTTTAACGGATTTTGTTGTTTTTGAGAATTGCCAAATTCATTCCAAATGGTGGAGGGTATTCAAAGTTCGGCCCGCCGAACTTACAGCTTTTTTATTTATTGTTTGTTACAATATTAGTAGGTAATGATGTGGACTGTTTTTTGAACAGTAAAATTGTATTGAATGAGAATTAATTCAGTGGAATTATATTAGTGTTTATCGATCGTGTAGACGATAACGTAATTTTTGTCTCTTGCACTATTATGAAAAGGACATAATTGGGTTGCGGTTGAGTGATGGATTCCATATTCCCAATGTCGTGGAATTAACATGATACTACAAACTGAAACCAACTTCAGACTGCTGTCATTTCTAAACCACTCTTCCGACAGCTGTTTACAAGCTTACAAAAGCATTTTGGTGAGAATTTTCCAGAAAAAAGTTATTCGTGATGGTATTCAAGCGTGATAGTGTGATTCCTTTAAATTTGGCTGGAAAACCACAAGTAGTTATCGTTAGAGCACTCCAGCATTTAAATGTGAATAAATCTTTTGTGTCTCGTAATATCGCTCGTTATCGTGATACTGGTAGCGTAGCCCGACGTCAAGGAAATGGACGCAAGAAAACACCAAAATCAGCAGAAATTGTTTGAAAAGTAAAGAAACGACTTGATCGAAAACGGCGTCGCGGTGGCCGAAAAATGGCTCGTGAGCTGAACATATCGCAATATACTATTCGGTAAATATTAAAAAAAGAGCTCGGGGTAAAGCCATTGAAATTCCAAAAAGTGCAAGAACTTTCTCCGCCGCAGAAGGCGCACTCAGCACGCGCCAACCAAGAATGGTTACAAAATGAGGTTCCTCGCTGCATTTCCAGCGCATAATGGCCACCAAACTCTCCGGATACCCATCCGTTGAACTATTGTGTCTGGAGTATTTTGCACTAAAAAATACCAAAGCGTCGATCACCTCAAGCAAGCTCTTCGCCGGGAATGGACTAAAATACCGCAGTGCAACATTCGGCAGCGTGTGACGGTTTTATTGACCGTTTGGAGGCCATAATCTGTTCCAAAGGTGACCAATTTGAACAAATCTAAACTTATTCTAAAATATGTTGCTATTTTCGACAATTCTGGCTTTTATACAATAAAATTTAAAAAAATGTAAAATATATGGAAGCAGATTTTTTATTTCACCCTGTACTTATTTGTTCATAAGCTTACTGAAGCAGCTGTTTTCTTGTGGGTTGTTATGTTGGCTTCAGTCTTCGCAGAAATATATACTCTCCTTATTGCATGTCTTCACATTAACGCTTGTAAATAACAATTTGATTTTGCTTACGAGAATCGGATTCATAGCATTTTCAAATTAAATTAAACCTTTTGCAAATGAACAGAAACCATTTACAACGGAAATGAAACATTTTACAGTTTATATTATATAACGAAACCTCCCGATATTCGGTTTTTTTGATTTTTTTTCGCGACATTATTCACAGAAATTGATTTAAATTTAGTATTTGAAGTTTTTTGCATGAAATAAAATTTTGCACAAATCATATATATATATATATATATATATATATATATATATATATATATATATATATATATATATATATATATATATATATATATATATATATATATATATATATATATATATATATATATATATATATATAGGTGAACCCGGTGCGCGTCGCTACCCCTTTTGATTTTATATGCATTCAAAATTTTATTTACTTAATTAAAAAAAATATTGCACTACTTTAATGTGTTAATAAACAAAGTCATTAAAAAAGCAGTGCATACACGAAGGGTTTGTCCTTTGGATTCATTTATTTCATAGCAAGTACCAAGCGTGCAGAAAACTGCAATTTTTTGAAGTTGATTGGCATTTATATTGCGAGTAGTGAATTCGATGTAGCAACATAATTCCCCGTAATAAGCGTATTTCAAATTAATTGTTGTGTTGTTTTTTAGTGTTATCCTAAGGCGTTGTGGTAAATGGTTCTTATTAAAATCATATCCCAATCTGATCCGATTTAAATATAATTTTAAAAAATTTTTTTTCAAATTCCGCCACAACTTTCATATTTCATTGAAATTGGTGCCTCAAATATATGAAATCGGCCAAGAATATATATAGATATGAGAGCTATATCCAAATCTTAACTAATTTCCAATAATTTATCACATTTATTATTATAACCGAATTCCGCCACACATTCTGAATTTCATTGGAATCGGTCATATATATCGTGTTTGGTGCATAACATGTATGAAGTCGGCCGAAATATATCTGTTAGCTATACTCAAACCTCAACCGATTTCAATATAATTTGGCAATTTTTTTCTGGTGCCAGATTTCGTCTCTCTCGCTTTGGGTGCATCAAATATGTGAAATCGACCGAGAATATATATGGGGGCTATAATCAAATCTGAGCGAATTTGAATATTATTTGTCAAATTTATTTTTGTACCAAATTTAGTGACTCGTGTTTTGTGCATCAAATCTGGGAAATGGGCGGAAAATATATATGGGAGATATTTTTAAATCTGAACCGATTTTAATATAATTTGACTAATTTATTTTCTAATCAAAATCCCGTCACATATTCCAAATTTTTTTGGAATCGAATATACATATCGTGTATGGTGCATAAAATACACGAGATCGGTCGAAAATATATATGAGAGCTATATCCAAATCTGAACCGATTTTAATATAATTTGGCTAATTTATTTTCAAATCAAAATCCCGTCACACATTCCCAATTTCATTGGAATCGAACATACATATCGTGTTTGGTGCATCAAATGAACGAAATCGGTTGAAGATATATATGGGAGCTATATCCAAATCTGAACCGATTTCAATATAATTTGACAAATGTATATTCGTTTTAATTTCCGCTACACATTCCAAATTTCATTGAAATTAGAGATACATAGCGTGTTTGGTGCATCAAATACATGAAATCGGTCGAAAATATATATGGGAGCTATATCCAAATCTGAACCGATTTCAATATAATTTGACAAATTTATTTTTGCTCCCAATTTTGTTACTTATTTTAAATTTCATTGAAATTGGACATACATATCGTGTTTGGTCCACCAAATACATGAAATCGGAAGAATATGTATATGGGAGCTATATCCAAATCTGAACCGATTTCAATATAATTTGATAAATGTATTTTCGGTTCAAATCCCGTTAAACATTCCAAATTTCATTGGAATCGAACATTCATATCGTGTTTGAGGCATCAAATGAACGAAATCGGTCGAAAATATATATGGAAGCTATATCCAAATCTGAACCGATTTCAATATAATTTGGGAAATCAATTTTTTAGATAAAACCCATCACACGTTTCAAATTTCATTGAAATTTGGGATACATAGCGTGTTTCGTGCATCAAATGCTTGAAATCGGCCGAAAATATATATAGGAGCTATATCCAAATCTGAACCGATTTCAATACAATTTGGCAAATTTATTTTTGTTCCAAATTCCGTTACGCATTCCAAATTTGGAGACTGTATCTGTAATTGATCAATAGTTATGTGCATAGAAAATCTAAATTTTTGGGAGGTACCTCCGATTCTGATGCTATATCTCCTACAAACATTTTCCTCTTTTATAGATATATGTAGATATATGTATATATATATATATATATATATATATATATATATATATATATATATATATATATATATATATATAAATTTTGGCGGATAATCTCCAATTTCAATAGGGTTCGTCCTTGCGCGAAGCAAATGATTTGTGCAACATTTTATTTCATGCAATAAATGCGAACTGTACTTTGTTTACAAATATACATGGACAGACGGACGGATGGACAAACATGAATAAATCGACTCAGAATATGATTTTATGCAGATCACCAAAAGGAACTATGGGTCTAACTTGTTTCCATTTGCCTTTTACAAACAAATGTGAATATATATATATATATATATATATTCCGTTGTAATATATATATATATCTATATCTATAAAAGAGGAAAATGTTTGTTTTGTTTGTTTGTTTTTAATTTATGGACTCGAAAACCGCTGAATAGATTTTCCTGAAAATTTCCATGTATACTGCAACATCGCCTGAAAGTAACATAGGCTATATACATTTTTGAATTTCCACTTGGAACTGGAGATATAGCATCAGAATCGGAGGTACCTCCCAAAAATTTAGATTTTATATGCACATATCTACTGATTTGTTCAAGATACAGTCTCCAAATTTGGAATACGTAACGGAATTTGGAACAAAAATAAGTTTGCCAAATTATATTGTAATCGGTTCAGATTTCGACCGATTTTTTTCATTTGATGCCTCAAACACAATATGAATGTTCGATTCCAATGAAATTTGGAAAGTGTGACGGGATTTAATCCGAAAATAAATTTGTCAAATTATATTGAAATCGGTTCAGATTTGTATATAGCTCCCAGATATATTTTCGGCCGATTTCAAGCATTTGATGCACCAAACACGCTATGTATCCCCAATTTCAATGAAATTTGAAACGTGTGATAGATTTTATCTAAAAAATTGATTTCCCAAATTATATTGAAGTCGGTTCAGATTTGGATATAGCTCCCATATACATTTTCGGCCGATTTCATGTATTTGGTGGAACAAACACGATATGTATTTCCAATTGTAATGAAATTTAAAATAAGTAACGGAATTGGGAGCCAAAATTAATTTGTCAAATTAAATTGAAATCGGTTCAGATTTGGATATAGCTCTCATATATATTTTCGGCCGATTTCATGTATTCTATGCACCATACACGATATGTATGTTCGATTCCAAAGAAATTTGGAATATGTAACGGGATTTTGATTAGAAAATACATTAGTCAAATTATATTAAAATCGGTTCAGATTTGGATATAGCTCCCATATATATTTTCCGCCGATTTCACATATTTGATGCACAAAACACGATACGTATTTCCGATTCCAATGAGAGAGACAAAATTTGGCACCAGAAAAAATTGCCAAATTATATTGATCAGTTGAGGTTTGAATATAGTTAGCATATATATTTCGGCCGATTTCATACATGTTATGCACCAAACATGATATATATGACCGATACCAATGAAATTCAGAATGTGTGGCGGAATTTGGTTACAATAATAAATGTGACAAATTAATTGGAAATTAGTTATGATTTCACATATTGGACGCACCAATTTCAATGAAATATATATTATATTTAAATCGGATCAGATTGGGACATGATTTTAATAAGAACCATTGACCCACAACGCCTTAGGCTAACACTAAAAAACAACACAAAAATTGATTTGAAATACGCTTATTACGGCGAAGTATGTTGCTATCTCGAATTCACTAATTGCAATAGAAATGACACTCAAATTCAAAAGATTGCAGTTTACTGCACGCTTGGTATTTGCTATGAAATAAATAAATCCGAAAGACAAACTCTTCGTGTATGTATGTCATGTTACTGCTTTTCTAATGGTTTTGGTTATTTACGCATTAAAATGGTGCAATATTTTTTTTTTAATTTTTAATTTGTTTTTTTTTTTTTTAACCAACATATATTCGTAAATAAAATTTTGAATGCATATAAAATCAAAAGGGGTAGCGAAGCGCACCGGGTTCAGCTAGTATACACATATGAAAAAAAAAAAAAAAAAAAAACACATACTTAATATACCCTCCATACTATGGTGCTATAATAAAACATAACGTAGCACACTCAGAACCTAACCTCTCTTCTAATCAATCAATAAAAATTATAAACTGATGCAAAAATATCACAGACCACATTAATAAAGACCAGAAAATAATAAAATCATAAGTGGGGGACAATACAAATATATTTAAAAATTAATCAGATGCTATACTGAAAATACAGTACCTTATCCACGTAAACGTTAATGTTGAATGTATTTCATATGAAAAGCATTTTGTATGACATCAATAATTAAATTGTGAAATAATATTGGTAAACGTATATATTAATATTCAATAAAAATAACTACTTAACCATATTAACTATATGTTTTTTTTATAAATTTAAAATTTTTATTTAATTCGGAAAGTTTCATTTCTATTGAAAAAGTTTTATTTAAATTACAAAAGGTTTTATTCCCGCTTAAAAAGAGTAATATAAACTGCAAAATGTTTCATTTCCGTTGTAAATGGTTTCTGTTCATTTGCAAAAGGTTTAATTTAATTTGAAGATGCTATGAATCCGATTCTCGTAAACAAAATCAAATTGTTTTTTACAAGCGTTAATGTGAAGACATGCAATATGGAGAGTATATATTTCTGCGAAGACTGAAGTCAACATAACAACCCACACGAAAACAGCTGCTTCAGTAAGCTTATGAACAAATAAGTACAGGGTGAAATAAAAAAACTGCAGCCATAAATTTTACATTTTTTTAAATTTTATTGAATAAAAGCCAGAATTGTCGAAAATAGCAACAAATTTTAGAATAAGTTTAGATTTGTTCAAATTGGTCACCTTTTGTACAGATTATGGCCTCCAAACGGTCAATAAAACCGTCACACGCTGCCGAATGTTGCACTGCGGTATTTTAGTCCATTCCCGGCGAAGAGCTTGCTTGAGGTGATCGACGCTTTGGTATTTTTTAGTGCAAACCTTACATTCCAAAATACTCCAGACACAATAGTTCAACGGATGGGTATCTGGAGATTTTGGTGGCCATTATGCGCTGGAAATGTAGCGAGGAACCTCATTTTGTAACCATTCTTGGTTGGCGCGTGCTGAGTGCACCTTCGGCGGCGGAGAAAGTTCTTGCACTTTTTGGAATTTCAATGGCTTTACCCCCAGCTCTTTTTTTTTTATATTTGCCGAATGGTATATTGCGATATGTTCAGCTCACGAGCCATTTTTCGGCCACCGCGACGCCGTTTTCGATCAAGTCGTTTCTTTACTTTTCAAACAATTTCTGCTGATTTTGGTGTTTTCTTGCGTCCATTTCCTTGACGTCGGGCTACGCTACCAGTATCACAATAACGAGCGATATTACGAGACACAAAAGTTTTATTCACATTTAAATGCTGGAGTGCTCTAACGATAACTACTTGTGGTTTTCCAGCCAAATTTAAAGGAATCACACTATCACGCTTGAATACCATCACGAATAACTTTTTTCTGGAAAATTCTCACCAAAATGCTTTTGTAAGCTTGTAAACAGCTGTCGGAAGAGTGGTTTAGAAATGACAGCATTCTGAAGTTGGTTTCAGTTTCTTCAACTCACCTTGTAGTATCATGTTAATTCCACGACATTGGGAATATAGAATCCATCACTCAACCGCAACCCAATTATGTCCTTTTCATAATAGTGCAAGAGACAAAAATTACGTTATCGTCTACACGATCGATAAACACTAATATAATTCCACTGAATTAATTCTCATTCAATACAATTTTACTGTTCAAAAAACAGTCCACATCATTACCTACTAATATTGTAACAAAAAATAAATAAAAAAGCTGTAAGTTCGGCGGGCCGAACTTTGAATACCCTCCACCATTTGGAATGAATTTGGCAATTCTCAAAAACAACAAAATCCGTTAAAAATTCTGTTAAAGTCTTTAAAATACCAAATGTAGATGTTATATTAGGGTCTATATGACGACATGGACCTGCATACGTAATGTTTGTCATAAGCCAGATAATATTCAAATGCGAAACTTCAAAAAATTGGTAATAATGTAAATAAAATCATCAAAATACCGAATATCGAGAGGTACCGTTATATTGGGGCTACATGAAGATGTGGACCTGCACAAACTATTTTCTGTCTTAGGCTGCAGTATACTTTACGAACTTTAGATACGAAATTTGAAAGAATTCCGATAAATAATGTCGCTAAAGTCATCAAAATACCGAATATCGGGAGGTACCGTTAAATGGGGCCTATACTGAAATGTGGGCCAGCATGGCCAATTTTCAATACCAAAAGTCCTGCAGACATAACATACACTTGTGTAAAATTTTATCAATCTTCTTCAATTCGTTCGAAAGCTAAAGTAATTTCCACAGAGGGATAGACAGACTGGCATCGCTAAATCGGCATAGAATTTTATGCTGATCAAGAATATATATACTTTATGGGGTCTAAAATGTGTATTTCGTGGTGTTACAAACGGAATGACAAACTTAATATACCCTCCATACTATGGTAGAGTGTATAAAAATATCAATTTTCATCAGAATATCGAATATAGACAGGTACTGTTCTATGGGGGCTATACCAAAACGTGGACGTACAATGTTTCGGCATACGAGCTACAACCCATTACGAACTACAAATATCAATTTCTGGACAAATCCCTTAAAAAATCTGTAAAAATCATCAAAACCCCGAATATCGGGAGCTACCGTTACATGGGGGCTACACCGAAACGTGGACCTATACATATAATGTATCGCCATACAAGCTATAACCCATTATGACCCACAAATACCAACATTTAGGCAAATTCGTGGGAACATGTGGCAAAAATCAGCAAAATACCAAATATCGGGAGGTACCGTTATTTGGCGGCTATACCAAAACGTGAGCCTATACATACAATGTTTCGCCACCGGAGCTAGAACCCATCATGGCCAAACATTTCAATTTTTTAGACAAATTCGTTAAAAAAAAGTGGCAAAAATCAGCAAAATACCGAATATCGGGAGGTACCCTTGTATGAGGGCTATACCAAAACATGGACCTATACATACAATGATTCGCCATACGAGCTGGAACCAGTATGATCTACCAATACCACAAATACGTTGAAAAATGTGTCAAAAATCAACAAAAAATCGAGAAGTACCGTTATATGGGGACTATACCAAATTGTGGACCGATACATCTCATTTTCCGTGAAGGAAAATGGGAACTCCGAAATATTCTTTATTGGTAACTTCGTTATATCAAAAGTATCTCTGTGGAAAAATTATTAGTGAAGATAAAGATTCACTTATAATAAAGTCCATAAAGATAGACTTCAAATGCCTTGATACGAATATCCTCCAAAGAGAAGTATGGTATAAAATTCTTACTACGGAGAGTCACATTTCGACGTATGAAATTATATGTAAAAAACGGAACTTTTGCACCCCAATATAATCCATTAAGTATGTTTAGGTAACGTTAATAGAGTAAAGTAAATAAAATTTAAAAATGTGGATTTGATTAAACGTCACAAATTTAAAAAATTTATTGAATATGCCAGGCTAAGTTGTCTATCAAAAAGTAACAGACGGTTTCCAGACCAAATAAAAATAGCAACGGCGGCGGATTCAACTGTTCCGGACTGATCCGAAACAACAACATCTTTGTTTCAGCCAGCGGCTACCATCTCAGCGCATAAATGTTCGTATTTTTTCCTTTTCTGTCTATGATATTGCTGACGTACGGGAAGGACGTTCGCCTCCTCATGTAGGTGGTCCAATGGTATCACGAGGAGGCTGCCTGGCGTAGTTCCCAGGGCAGCATTATTGGAGGTCTGGATATTCTTCAACTGCAAGTACTGCCGGCCGGCGGATTGAGGACCTTTCTCCTACAGATGGCTTGCGCGGACTCTTGAGCATGGATCTTAGGCTGATTCGTAGTTGGCATAAAATGTCCCTCGACCCGCACATTCAGCTGTGTTCTCATCCAATGCCGCCATTCTCTTCAACCCCTGCACCGAGACAAATCGTTATTACATGACGTTCTACAATCCGAACAGAACAGACCAAAGAATATAAAGTAAGAATTTCATGATATGCTGCTCCTGAGGCAGAAAAGGAAACAAATACGAACATTTATGCGCTGAGATGGTAGCCGCTGGCTGAAACGAAGGTGTTGTTGTTTCGGATCAGTCCGGTACAGTTGAAACCGCCGCCGTGGCGATTTTAATTTCGATAAACTGCGCCACATTTTCGTCTCTAGGCAAATACTTCTCTGAATTACTAATGCATATGCACATTCTCCATTTGTCTGGAATCCGTCTGTTATGCAAGCCACACACGATACAATTGGTTGTACAACTTGGAGAGATTTTATTCAAGATTGTATCGTTTGTGGCCCGGTTGTACGAAGTTGTGTCTCGGTTGTACGAAAAATCAAATTATTTTTAATGTTTGGCATGTTGTACCAACCGATTGTAACGTTTGTGGGTATGTCACATACAATTTCATTTTCTGTTTTTTTTTCGTTGAGAAAACACCATTTTTAGACACATCAAAACAACACCAAAATGGAAGACTCCGCACAAATGCGTGATTTTATTGAATGTTATAAAAGTATGATGGAATTGTGGAATTGCAAAAATGAAAATTATAAAAATAAAAACATGCGAAATAAAAGCTATGATAAACTGTTAATTGAATATAAAAAAAAATGATGGGATCCTTAAAAAAGTGAAGAAGAAAATAGCAAATATGCGGACTTGTTATCGCCGCGAATTGATGAAAGTGATAAAGAGTCAAAAGTCTGGATCGGGAGTAATGAAATTTATGTGTCAAAGTTTTGTCAAGTTTTTAAAAAAAGTGCTGAACATTTGGAGTCGTCAGCAAACAATTCAAAAGTCGAAGATGGAGCCACTACATATGCAAATGGATAGGCTTGCATGTATCGGCAAATGAACCCAAAACAACAATTACATGCAAAAAGAGCCATTGATGAAATTTTGATGATGGGACGATTAAATCAATTGACCTATAATACACTGCAAAGCAGTTTAAATGGATCTTCCACTCCAAACTCCAACAGCTCGATCCCGCTGATTTTTAGCACAATTCGGTTCAATATATACGGACGTCAGTACTGCCAAGCGATAGTCAAAAAAATGTATGGAATGAATCTTCCACGCCAAATTCCATAGCTCGACCCCGTTTATTTTCAGTGACGATTCTGTTCAATACATACAGACGTCAGTCTTGCAAAGCGGTAGGGAAACCTAACCTAATATACGTACAACTTCAAACCCAGCAAATAAATCACACCACTATTAAGATTTTAAAGAATTATTTAATGATTCTGAGTACCAATAAATCAAAAACTTTTTGAAATTATATGATTTTAATTTTTAGTTAATAAAAATCTTTAATGTAAATAAAAATTATGTAATAAAGTGTTCTCAATTGTTATATTGTTTCACAAAACTTAAGCCTAATTTATTTTGCTTCTTCGAGAGAATTTCTATGCGTAGTTGGCTCCATTCCAGTCAAGGGCACTACATTTTCAGTCTCTTCAAAATTGGAAATCGATTGACGACGCAAATAGTTGTGTAGGTAGCAGCATGCTAGTACAACCGTAGTGGCCTTCTCTGGACTCAAATTTATCACAGTGCGTAAAATGCGGAAGCGGGAAGATTTAATGCCAAAAGCATTCCCCACTTTTACTCTGGCCGAACTTAGCGTCTTATTGTACAACATCTCATCACTTCTTAAATTAGAATGTCCAATTTTTAAAGTGTTTTTGCGCAAAGCAAACGCTGCGTCAGAAACAAACACGCATCGGATTAGGTAAATTCAGCTCACCGTTTTCGAGCATTTCAAAGAATTTTGTGTTTGAAAATACACCGCCGTCCGAAATTCTGCCATTCGTTCCTATATTGACCATCAAGAAGTCACTGTTGCTATTGACAATACTAAAGGTCTTTTTATAATTAAAGTAAAAGGATCCTGAATGGCATGGCCTTATAATATTAATGTGTTTGCCGTCAAGGGCTCCAAAACAGTTCGGCTGGAGTTTTTGGAAGCTGCAATTAAAGAAAATATTGAAGTATATTTTATCTTAATATAAATATATATATCTTCAACACTTACCTTACTAAACGGTTTTAAAACTCTTATAATTGCTTCGCAAGTTTCGATCACAATTTTTCCTATTGCTTGTGGAGGTACTGCAGTTGGAAATTTTAGTTCTTCGTATGAACACCCAGTTGGCAAAAAAACGTAATGTTATTCCTAATCGGTGGCTGGCCGAAATTGCCTGTTTCACTATGGTCCACATAAAATAGTACTTCATGCATTATATTGGGGTGTTTTCATACGTCGAAATGTGACTCTCCGTAGTAACCATTTTTTACCCTATTTCTCTTTGAAGGAAATTCGTATCAAGGCATTTGAAGTCGATCTATCCATAACAGTCCCTTGAGCTAGTTCTGATATTTGCGACATATTTCCATGAATTTGTCTAACAATTGGTATTTGTGGGTCATAATGGGTTCTAGCTTGGCGAAACATTATACGTGTACGTCCACGTCCCCCATAGAACGGTACCTGCCTATATTTGATATTTTGATGAAAATTGGTATTTTTATACCCTCAACCATAGTATATTATTCCGTTTGTCATTCCATTTATAACACCTCGAAATATACATTTTAGACCCCACAAAGTATATATATTCTTGATTTGCTTAAATTTCTATGTCGATTTAGCGATGCTCTTCCTCTCTCTGTGGACATCACTCTAGCTTCCGAACGAATTGAAGTATATTGATAAAATTTTACTCAAATGTATATTTTGTCTGCAGGTCTTTTAGTATTGGAAATGGACCATGTAGGTCCACGTTTTGGTATAGCCCCTATATAATTGTACCTCTCGATATTCGGTATTTTTATGATTCTTGCGACATTATTCACCGGAATTGTTTCAAATTTAGTAGTATCTGTTCATAACAGATGCTACAGCCTATGACAGAAGATTGTCTGTACAGGTCCACGTCTTCGTATAGCCCCATTCTAACGGTACATATTTTGATAATTTTAGCGAAATTATTCGCGGGAATTGCGTAAAATTGGGTATTTGAAGTTCGTAATGGATACTACATCCTAAGACAGAAAATTGTCTGTGCAGGCCCACGTCTTCGTATAGCCCTCATATAACGGTACCTCCCGATATTCGGTATTTTGAAGATTTTATCTACATTATTACCTATTTTTTTAAGTTTCACATTTGAATATTTTAATGGCTTATGACAAATGTTGCCTATGCAGGTCCATGTCGTCGGATAGACCCTAATATAACAGCTACATTCGGTATTTTTAAGATTTTAACAGAATTTGTTAACGGATTTTATCGTTTTCGAGAAGTGCCAAATTCATTTCAAATGGTGGAGGGTATTCAAAGTTCGGCCCCGCCGAATTTACAGCTTTTTTACTTGTTAGTTCATAATGTGTTCTAGCCCGTTGGCAGAAAATTGATTATTTAGTTCCACGGTTTCCTTATATATAACGATACCCTACTATATTCGGTATTTTTAAGATTTGGTAGATGGCAATCCTTGAAGTATAAAATTGTCTACAGAGGTTCCCGTTGTGGTATGGCCCCATATAACGGCCTCATTCACTTTATGGTTTTTGATTAGTATAACTGCATTATCCAAACGTTCTTACTGGTATATGAAGTTTAAGGTGAAACACGCCTGAATTGGGACACTTTTATATAAAAATGTTTCCTTTACCCTAAGGTGGAGGGTTTTAATCTTTTATATTATAATTATTAATGTTTTTTTACCTGTTCAAACTAGTAATAGTCATTTAGGTCAATAGTAAAAATTACATATTCTATATATATAAACCAAATATCGTTCGTAGGTAATTGAATCAGTCGATGAAGGCTGAACCCATGGCTCAATAAGAAAGGTTGCTCAACTTCAAAGAAACTAGAAAAATTCAACTCTGTACTGTAGTCTTATAGTGTCAAATAGACTTTTAAATATGCAACAATTGGCTCTGTTATACCCTCCACCATAATATGAAGGATATATTAACTTTGTCATTCCGTTTGTAACACCTCGAAATACACATTTTAGACCCCACAAAGTATATATATATTCTTGATCAGCATGTCGATTTAGCGATGTCCGTCCGTCTGTGGAAATCACTCCAGCTTCCGAAAGAATTGAAGTATATTGATAAAATTTTTACTCAAATGTATGTTATGTCTACACGACTACGTTTTGGTATGGCCCCCATATAACCGTACCTCCCGATATTCGGTATTTTGATGATTTTAGCTATATTTTTGCCGATTTATTTTGATAATTTTTGACACATATTCCCACGAATTCGCCTAAAAATTGGTATTTGTGGGTTCTAGCTTGTATGGCGAAACATTACATGTATAGGTCCACGTTACGGTATACCGATACCGGTACCCCCCGATATTCGGTGTTTTGATGATTTTTGCACATTTTTAAGGGATTTGTCCAGAAATTGCGATTTGTAGATCGTAATGGGTTGTAACTCGTATGGCGAAAGATTGTACGTGTACGTCCACGTTTTGGTACGGCCCCCATAGAACGGTACCTGCCTATATTCGATATTTTGATGAAAATAATTTTTGTACCCTCAAATATAGTATGGATGGTATATTAAGATTGTCATTCCGTTTGTTACACCTTACACAATTATTCTCGGTGCACTTTCAGAATAAATCTTCATGAATGCCTATTTACATTTAATAGTTTTTTCCATGATCTAATTTTTTCTTAATTATACTTTTTTAATAAGAACATCTTGAAATGTCCTTTTGTTGGAGTAGTTCACTCATCATGTAAACTTATTATGTTAGCTTTAAAGAAAATTAGCTTTCATTTCATATTATGTATATTGTATATCATATTGTTTAGCATATAGTATTCGCTTTAATTGGCCTAAAGGCTTTGTATACTTGCCATGGTACGAATAAATAAATAAATAAATAAATAAAATATACATTTTAGACCCCACAAAGTATATATATTTTTGATCAGCATAAAATTCTATGTCGATCTGGCGATGTTCGGCCGTCTGTTGAAATCGCTCTAGCTTCCGAACGAAATGAAGTATATTGATAAAATTTTACTCAAGTGTATATTATTTCTGCAGGATGGATACTGCAGCCCAGGACAGAAAATTGTTTGTGCAGGTCCCCATCTTCTATAGCCCCGGTAAATCCCGATATTCGGTATTTTGATGATGTTATCTACGTTATTGCCGATAATGGCTTATGACAAATGTTACCTATGCAGGTCCATGTCGTCGTATAGACCCTAATATAACAGTTATATTTTGTATTTTTAAGATTTAAACAGAATTTTTAACCGATTTTTTTGTTTTGGAGAATTGCCAAATTCGTTTCAAATGGAGGAGGATCCGGTCCGGCCGAATTTTCTTAACAAAATTCTTATATGGGGAAAAAACCGGGAAAGAAGAATGGAATTCGGGGTTGTTCCACAAGATATGATATACAGTTGTAGGACAATACAGCTTTATCATAAAATTGTACAATTTGTTACCCATTTCGTGGAAATTTTGCATTTATTTTGCAACCAAATTTTAAATAATTTCAAATTATTGTATTTTTTATTCAAAACAATTCACACATATACACAAAATGTGTATATTTTTTGACAGAATAAGGACACAAAAAGAAAAAAAAAAATATTTTGGAGGGTAGCTTAGTTCTACCTTCTGCAATTATGCAATGACTGGGCTGATTTGGATACTTTTTAATTAAGTTAAGAAAAATTGACCACTCTCATTTTTACGCCCACTTTTTCGATTAATCTAAAATCGTTATATTTTCAAAAATAATGAAGATTGATAATTAGAAAATTTCGATTAAAATCTCCAGAAACGTCTGGAAATTGAATTTTTTTTAATATGTAATTTTATGCAGAATGGCTTTTCGAATGGAATGTTTGTAATCTGAAATTTGGCATTGGGGTTTCTGTTAGTGTGTAGGGTTGGGACGCAAAAGAGGTTTTGGGAACATTTATATTATTTGGAGAAGATAAAATTTGGTATAAAGATATATATTTTTGTATAACTGGTGCTGGTCGGTACCTATATTTAACTCTCATCAAAACTCGATAATATAAACTTCGTAGGGTGAATTTGAAAACAGCTTTTTCGATATAGATTTTTTCTCTGTTCGAGAATGTATACGATCTGGGTACAAACATTTTGGGGTTTTTCAAATGGAATAGTACTATTAATATACCCTTATCGTATGGTGAGTGTTAAGTTAGAACTACCCTTAATCATGAGGTCAAAGCTAAATACTTTAGATGGTGGTCTTCTCATAGTTATTTTTTATATCCCAATCAATTGGAAAGCTTCGACCTTTACATTGAGTATAATTCAGTTTTGGCGTTTCTTTTTTTAGAATCCCA